AAAAAAAAAAAAAAAAAAAAAAAAGATAATCAACATATATTAAGACCAAGAGACACATATGTTAGAATTCTCCAACTAGGATTCTAAACCAGCCATCATAAAAACACTTAAATGAGCAAAGTTGGTGCCTCATCAGAATCAGCTGGGGAGATGTATGAATTTTATTTCTGGCTCCTCACAACTCCCCACATAGTTTTGGAGTCTAGCCCTGAGTCCAGGAATATAATTTTTAATTTCCTTTTTGCTTGTTAAAGATCAGCCAGGTATCAGTATAGATGTCAAAAGGGCCTAGCTTTGAGTTTAGGGGTCCAAGGTTTTGGTTTGGGCTTCTTATTTAAGGGTATAGTTTTAGGTAAAATATCAACTATTAGAAAGAAGTGGGAGAGAGGAGAGAAGAAAGATAGAATCAAGCAAGTAGGCAAATATTATGAAAGACAAGATGGGGAAAAAATAATTCTTATCTCAGGAGATCATTTTGAAGAGGTTGAGATATTATTTCCCAGATCTCACTCCTCCAGGGAGTGATTCTTAAACTGCAACTTGAGTTCAATATATTTTTTTTTACGGGGTGAGGGGGGAGTTATAATCTAAAAAGCAAAAATTTTAACTTCTAAGACAAGCTTCTCTTTCACAACTATGTTTTGTGTACGCTGAGATAAATGCTTCTCATTTAGCGGTCAGCTGATTTGTGTGGGAGCTGGGAAAAGATCATTTAAATTTAAATTTTCTTTTAAAAGTGGTCCTTTTTGAGAAATTCTACTTCAAGTTTTACTTCTTCATCCAGACACACTGTTGTATGTCACCTACATACGGTGCTCATAAATGAAAGGAAAAGACTTTTCCCAACCTTTTTAATAGGCAGTCAAGTGCTGCCCCTTTTCCCGGCTTTTTCCACTCCCCCAGCCCCAGGCCTAGCCCAGCCGTAACTGACTCCTTTTCCTCAACCAAGGCCCTTCCTATCGGGATTATTTTTGGAGTCGCGGGTATTTTGAAAAAGGTTTCCAAGAAAAATCAGCACATTTTCCTCTCCAACTGGGGCCCTCCCGGTCTGCGACGAGGTGACACCAGATGGGGAGGGCGGGAAATTCAAATCCTTTGTCCCTCCTCGAGCTGGAGTGCCACCCTTTCAAGCTCTTCTTAGTGGCATCCCTGAACGGTAAGTGACCCAAGAAACGGGAGCCCAGATTTCAGGAATGAAAGAAAAATTGCAACGGCTTTAGATTGGCTGTTGCCATCAGTAAACATTTCTAATGCGAAATTAGAAAATCTCACTTCGACCACGTGAAGAGAGCTTGAGGTAGTACCCTATAGAAGTGCCCACAGCTTGTTAAAGGAACAACAGGCAATTTTGCTTACTGTTTCTGCAATCCCAGGGGAGTTCAGCCTCCCGGAGAAAATGCCACTACCTGCCCTTTGTTCCGTCGGGACCCCTCCTCTCCCCTCCCCCTCCCCCACATCCCCTCCCCCCTCACACC